GATGCTAACTGTCCCAACTCCAATTCCAAAATAGATGCAAATGCAGCAGACACAAAAGAATGAGATGCACCCGAATCAATCAATACACTAGCAACCGAGTTGCAAAATAGAAAGGTACCTCTCACTACTGACGGAGTCGGTACTAGGTCCTGCATGGTAACAGCATACACGCGCCCTGTAGGCCCCTGATCCACCTGCTTACCTCTAGGAGCAAAAGACTGCTGCACTGACTGGGATGACGAAGCTCCCGGATTGGCCCTCGAGGCCTGCACAGACTGAGCTAGCTGATAACTTTACGTCTGCCTAGAACCAGACGCTCCTGAAGTAGCACTCAACTGTGGGCAATACCTCTTCAGGTGCCCAGGTTGACCACACTGATAGTAAGACAAAGGCTGGCCCCTGCCCTGACTCTGGCCCTGAGGTCTAGCTGAAGAAGAAGCAGCTTGCTGACCCCCTCCCTTCTGCCGGCAAACCGAAGGCTTGTGACCCAGCTGGCCACACGCAAAGCAAGTCAAGCCTCCCTGACTACCTCTCCCAGAGCCCGCACTCGGCACTGGAAAGGTCGGTCTAGCCAAACCACCCTAAGACTGCTGAGGGTTAGAACCCCTCTGTCTCCTGTCGTCACCCTGACCATCTTGGCTCCTCTTGGAGCCTCTCTGCCCTTTATCCTCTTCCTGCATTATAATCTCCATATGAGCAGCAGCATCAACCAAACGTCTGTACTCTCGGATAAAGGACCCTCCAACTCTCAACTTGAGTCCACGCCTCAACTTCCGCTCAAACTCTAAACAACGGCGTTCCTCGGACGCCACCAGTTCAGGTGCAAACCTGGACAGACTAGTAAAAGTAGCCTCAAATTCGGCCACTGACAAGCCCTGTTGTTTAAGCTGGCAAAACTGCTCCCTCAACTTCTCTCTTGCAGCTGAAGATAAAAATTTCTCCTGGAAAGCATTCACAAACGCCTCCCATGCACCACCAACATTGCCCTTCTCGTATTTCTACCACTGACCCGCATCTCCCTTCAGCTGGAAGGATGCCAAGGTCACCTTTAAAGCCCCGTCCTCGATACCAAGCATCTCAAACGTCTTCTCCATCTGTTCCAACCACTCGTCAGCCTTAAGTGGCTCATTCGGATCCCCTACAAACTCGTCCGGATTGGACCGGAAGAATTCCCTCTTCAAGAAGGAAGGCCCTGCCTCAGCTGCGTGGGCCTGTTCCTGATTCCCAGCTGAGAATACCCAAAGCTCCTGCTATCTCTTGGGCCAAGGCACTCATAGCCTGCTGACCCGCTGGCTCGGCCACATTGGCCTGACTAACTCCCTCCTGCTGTGCCGGAATATCATCCGGTAAAGGCATCTCTTGCCTACCATGCCTGCCACGCCTACCACGTCCTCGTCCTGACATCCTAATAAAGGTAACCAAGACCATTAGCACATTTATAAATGTGCCGAAGCTATAACACTCACGTCCTAATGCATGGACAACTGTAATTTACTTCACGTAAGCACATAATCACATAAGCAATTAAGAATTTCATTTTCGGATAATGACAGTCCCAAGGCGTTACTAGAATTCCGGTTAGAAACAGCATTGATCAAGTGTTTTTCCAACGAGACTCCCAGAAACCCAAGGATCCAATCAACATCCTAGAAACTACATTCCATACCCACATAGCCACATAAGCATGTTATCAATTAAGCACATAGCATATGACACTACATCTAAGTCTCTATCAAGCGAGACAAACCCATTGTGAACCTAATCACTTCCCACGTACCCAAAGTATTCGAACCCGGTACGCTCTGATACCAAGTTGTAACGCCCTCAAAATAATAACATTAAAACCCATCAACTTAGACATGCATTGGTATAAAAGATAAATATTCTTCTATTCATCAGAGTAGTTCTTTACAAAAGTATTACATGTTAACAACAAAAGCAAATGCTTTACGGGCTTACAGCTTTCCAAGTTAACACTTGGTTACAAAAAGAAGAGTGCTAACTCAATACATATTGAGCCCTAGGCTTGAATTTAAATGTAATACATCTAAAGGAAGCAAATAACAAAACAGTCTGTATGCCTCTAGCCTCCCAAGCTATGTCCTTGGAGGTGGCATGCTACTTGTACCTGAAAATGATGTCCCATAAAGGGTGAGCCACAGCCCAGTGGAAATATGCTAAACACAGTATGAGCAATAACTAAGACATTAGCAATTGATAAGTGTTCATTTTCCATAAATCAATTCATAACCCATTTCCATATCATGACCACTATGTTCATGTTTCATTTCAGTGTCCATTTCTTTTAAAATGATGTCCCATAAAGGGTGAGCCATAGCCCAGTAGAAATATGCTAAACACAGTATGAGCAATAACTAAGACATTAGCAATTGATAAGTGTTCAATTTCCATAAATCAATTCATAACCCATTTCCATATCATGACCACTGTGTTCATGTTTCATTTCAGTTTCCATTTCTTATCAATTTTACAATTTACATCAACAGCTCAGAACCTGGCCAACCACTTATATGAGACAGTGACTCATATTAAACATTTCCCATTTTTACAATAGATAAACATACTAGTTGTATGAGTCCATCCCCTATCTCCTCCCAAACAACATCCGGTTTAGAGGTCCATCCCCTATCTTCCCCTAAACCGTGGAGTACATCCCCTATCTCCTCCCACACACACAACGTATATACACATAGGTCATATACACAATCAATCAATACATAACGTTAATGTATTCTATCAACCGTCATACTCTATGACATATCCAATTGATTAGTTTTAGTTTGCCTAATTATCATGCATTGTCTACAACAATCAAAACTACCCTCCACGGGTAGCCCAAGCAATTATTTCTAAACAGATAATAAAAGCTTCAACAGATAAAATATCAATGTTTTCAAAAGTGAGCGATTAATAGATCTAACTCCACTATTCTACCATATAATGAACCAATTTCATCATTTCCAACTCAATTTCATAAAATCACAATTCTCCCAAAATTAGGGTTTTCCACCCGATTTCCCAATATTGACCCAATGGTCTAAATATCAGCAACCAACAACGATATCATTATTTTGAACCCACAATACACATTTTAGACTCAAATAACAAAATCCTCTTTTAACATTTTGAAACCCTAAGTCCCAAAATTTACCCAACTTCAACACTTTATCAAAACAACCCAAAATCTATGTCAAAGACCATAAGAGTGAGTAGGAATCCCTACCTCAAAAATTGGAGCTCAAGGGAAGAAGATGAAGAAACTCAACGTGCTCCAAAACTCAATATTCTCGGATCAAAGTGTAGCCCTCGACGATCAACCCAACTTTTACAAAGGCCGAAGGAAAAGGAAACACTCTAACTAGATCAAACCCTAGAGAGAAGAGAGTTTCTAGAGAGAGGAACTCTCAAAATGGCTTTTTAGAAAGTAAGAGAGAGAGAGAGAGAATGTAAAAAGTGAATTTAAAACGCTTCAAGCTGCCACTGATATACGACAATTCCCGTCGACGGAGAACAAAACGCTGCGGCGTTCAAAAACAAAAACTAGGTACGCTTGAGTCGCCAAGAAGGCCCGCTCGAGCACCAAGACACAAGAATAAAGTACATCCGCTCGAGCGCGAAAACCAGTCCGCTCGAGCGTGGATTTCCTCCTCCCAGAACTTACACCAAAAAGTACTACCCGCTCGAGCGCCAGAGTACCCGCTCGAGCGTAAAGAAACTCGCTCGAGCGTGAAAAACATGCTTGCAGAAGTTCTGCAGAGCACCAAAATACTGGGAGCGTGTAATCTTCGCTCGAGCGCAAGAAGACCCGCTCGAGCAGACCACCTAAAAACTGGACAACAAAGAATTGAAACCAAAGCCTAACCAACCTGTAACAACTCTGCCCAATACATCCTAAAACTCAATCAAGCGAAATTAAAGGACGACAACAAGATAGATACAACTACCAATTTCACGAAATCGAGTCCGGAATACAACAGAACAGTAAAGGGATAACCGAGATCGCTATAACGGAGCTCATCTGGGACCATATTCTATTAGTACTATATTTTGAACTTCAAATCCAATCACAAAGAGGGAATTTTTAAACCTTCAAATTGCATCCCTTATTAAAGAAGCAATTTTTAATTCAAGATTTTAACTGTAGATTATAATCCAATTAAGAAATTAAACCACTTTTTATTTTTTTATTTTTTTAGGTCACATCGCTTCTTTATTTTTTTTTTCATTTTTTCATAAAAAATTAAAAAATATAATTATTTGTTTCTTCTCAAGCGACCCTCACTTCATTATAAAAATTACAATTATGTACCGTGTATGGGCAATAAGGATCAGTATAAAATAGTGATTAAGAACATTTCCAATCGTTCATCAAATTTAAATAAAGATTCAATAAAAAATTTGATCTGATATAATGCATTCTAATTTTTTTTCATCAATTCTGCAGGCTGTATAATAAATTTTGATCAAAATCCAGTCATCTACTCGATTGTTCACCTAATTATTCATTAACAATAAATTTCGAAATTTGAGAAATTTAATAAAAAGTTAAGGGTCTATTTGGTAACGTTTACGTTTTCAGTTTATATTTACAAAAATTTTATAAACTTGTTTTTGTTTATTTTAGAAAAACATAAACTACAAACGCGTTTGGAAATCGACAAAATGTTTAAAAAAATTTAAAAATATAAAAAAGAATGAGAAATGACAAGTGGTGGCAAGTGGCGGCGGAAGACGGTGGTGGAATAATGGTGACAGTGGATGGTGGGTAGCAGGTGGTGGTGGGTGGGTGGGTGACGGTAGCGGGTGATGGGTGGTAGCAAGTGGGTGGTGGCGGTGGTGGTGGTGGCGGTGGCAGGTGGTGGGTGGTAGCGAGTGGGTGGTGGTGGTGGCAGGTGGTGGTGGCAGGCGGGTGGCGGATGGCGGGTGGGTGGTGGTGGTGGGTAGGTGGGTGATGGTGGCGGGTGGTGGGTGGTGGTATGTCACTTTCCGGCTTCACCCTCCCACTCCGTCAATTCTTGTTTTGGTTCTCTTTCCTCTGAGATGAAGTCTACCCCTTCATCCGCACCAGACCCATCATTATAATCCGCAGGCCGACTCTTGAAAAATTCATCATTTTCCATAACAGCAAACTTCTCTTTCGACTCTCCCTTCAAAAGCTCCACCACCTCAAGCATGGTTGGTCTCTTCTCAGGCTGACTTTGGGCACAGATAAGCGCAACGAAGACAACCCTTTTCAACTCTTCCTCTACATACATCCCGTTCAGTCGCGGGTCTGCCAGTTCACTGAATTTCCTCTCACATGCTAATGGCAGAGCCCAATCGGTGATCGTGCGCTTCATTGTTGAGCTGAGCTTTTCAAGGGGTTTTTTGCCACTAGCAAGCTCTAGCAAGAGAATGCCAAAGCTGAAGACGTCACAGCTCTCTGATGCCTTCCCTAACATTGCGTATTCTGGAGCAAGGTAGCCTAGGGTACCCTTTACTCTAGTGGTCACATGGGTTGCACCGTCAGGTATTAGCTTTGCAAATCCAAAATCAGCAACCCGAGCTTGGAAATCCGAATCTAGCAACACATTGCTTGCTTTTACGTCTCTGTGGATTATATGTGGGGTTGCATGATGGTGTAGATAGCTGCATTTAAAATATTCAAAAAATTAAAAAACTAAAAAAATCGTAACAGGTTTAAATATTAAAATATTTAAAATCTTAACAAAATTAAAATATTTTTAAAATATTGATTTGAATGGAGTTTTGAAAAGAGTTTTGAATTATGTGTTTGGTTATGAGTTTTGAAAAGTAATAATTATGTTTTGAATTGAATTTTGAGAAATGAGTGTAGAATTATGATTTGAAAATCCTAAACAAACACCACACTCAAAAGTAAGTGTGGAACTAGATTTTGAAAACTCCACCAAACGGAGCCGTAGTTCCCCAACGTCCAAATGCGCCACAACAAGGAGGAACACTGGATAGCGAGAGGAACAATTCTCTAGCTTCACTTCAGCCAGTGCCAAACAAACATCAATAGAGTGTAAGCAACAATGTCACAAAGTGAAGCCACCGATTTCATTTTTTTAAACAAAAAACATAAGCAGCAAAAAGAACCAAAATTTATTAAAAAAAAGTCAAGCTACGAAGTAGAATCATATAGGCAACTCAGTCCCTTAGATGTTCATAATGAATTTGCGATCATGTCCGTAGGTCATTACAGGTCTGTATTGGCTCATCACCGTTGCACAATTAGACTCCTTTTCAAAAAGAAAAAAGTATACATGATATATAGTTGCCCTAGTGTGCTCCAATGTCAAAAATAAAAATACAGTGGAGACATATAGAAAGAGCAACACGATCGCTTTCGCTTCAAGGGAACGAGTCGAACAAGAACTGATCAATCTCACCGACCAGATTGCAAAGCTTTTTCATTCATATGTAATCTGAGAATTCAAAAAAAAAAAAAAAATTTGAAAATTGAAAGATTCAGAGGAAGACCGAGACTGAAAATTGAAACGAATACAAATCTGTATAAAAATAAATAATTGATGAGGAAATGGAGAAGAATCTCATGAAAGCATAAGAAGAGAAGAGAGGCGAAGCAGAGAAAACACCAAAACCCTAACCTCAATGCCCAAAACACCGAAAAGGATAAAACGAGCGCGAGGCTGACGCTTCGTTGAGAGGTTCTTTTTTATATGGGAAGGAGGGCTGCTGCGATTGGACGGTTTATGTAAAACTTGTGTGGATGAGTGGCTGAGATTATTCGGTGTGACCCTGATCACCCATATAACAATTTTCTCCCCCCACAATCTCGGTAAATGAGATGATCTGCAAGTTTTAAATTGAAGGATGGGTCAATTTTTTAAATTTTCCTTTATCATTTTATTTGTGGAGATTATGAGAAAGAAAATTGTGTAGATATAATACTGGTGACGTAAATAATATATAAAATTCAAAATTTGATAATAATGTTAAATTTTGGACAAAATATCAAATTTTAACTACAAGTTTTCTCTTTAATTCATCATAATGGAAATTACAAATTCTATTTATATTTAAAAAATAATAAATAACATTTTAACAATGTAACATATAAGAAATTAATGAAAATTTTGTTTTGATATACAAATGTAACAATTGAAAATGCTCTTAGAGATACTAGTTTTTTAAGTAATTATGCTATGACCTAGAATTACATATCATTTTGAGGTGACATCCTATTTTGATTGAATATTTAAATAAAGTAAAACTCAAAATTTTAATTTTCTACCTTCTTAAGAATATGAGTTTTAAGTAAATATAAAATATTTTACTTTATTCATTGTGACAAGCATCAGTAGATAGGATCAAATTAAATGTGATGATCCAAACATTTGGAGTAGGAAACTTGATAAAATTTATATTATTAACTAACATAAGAAATAATAGGAGATCATTTTATTATACATTGTGAAATAATATTAAAATATATTTATATTTATTTTTATTTTATTTTTATTAGGAATAACCTTGTATGCATGTTGTAAAAAAATAATATGTAATACAATTACTTGAGCTCTACTTATCATTAACTTGTTCGAAATTTATTTGACATTGATTTTTTGAAGGGATTTTTGGTGAAAAGCGCCTCCTATTAGGCTTATTTTGTGTAAAATCCATGGAATTAAACAATAACTTCAAAAGCAACTCAATTAAAAAATGTCATGAATTGACTGAAATATCCTTCTATATAAGTGGGGAAATATGAAACAATTAACAGTAAAAATTTACTATTAATCAAAGTAAAATTTTACTGTCACTATCAAAGTAAAATTTTACTATCACTATCAAAGTAAAATTGCTGTCACCACAAGTCCAAAAGTCAATTTGTGTTGATAAAATTTTACTGTGGTTTAGTGTAACATTGTACTATATTTTAGAGTTAATTTTTACTATTAGGTTTGCCAAAGATTGACCACTCATACAGTATGTCACCAGCACAACTTGAGACATGCAATGTAAAAGTAAAATTTTACTCTACATAAAAATAAAATTTTACTTTTAAATAAGAATAAAATGTTACACTTTGAAACTAAGAATAAAATGTTACTCCCTGAATTTAAAAGTAAAATTTTACTCTGTATAAAAATAAAATTTTACTCTTAATAAGACTAAAATGTTACACTCTAAAATTAAAAGTGAAATTTTACTCTGAAAAACTAGTAAAATGTTAGACTCTACACAAAAGTAAAATTTTACTCTGTATAAAAGTAAAATTTTACTCTAAAAAATGAGTAAAATGTTAGACTCTGAAGATAAAAGTAAAATATTACTTTGCACAAAAGTAAAAAAAGCGAAGGCAGTGTTTGTGGCGGCTGAAGTGTTCGGCAATGACCACCTCTTGACAGTAAAATTTTACTTTCATTCTAACACCAGAGTAAAATTTTACTCTAATTCTCTCAAACAAAAAACAGAGCAATAGAACCAGAATAAAATTTTACTCTCATTTTCTAAAACAAAAATCAGAGCAATAGAACCAGAGTAAAATTTTACTCTGGTTCTGTCAAATGAAATTAGATAAAAAACAATAAAAATAAATAAAAAAAAAACAAATTAATTAAGAAATCAGCATATCTAATTGAGAAGAAAAACTTCTAAAACTCAATCAACAATCACAAATCTCAATGAATCTGTCGTTTAATTGAGAGTGTTGATCGTCGGCGGCGAGATCATCTATTGTTGACCAAGTGAGAGATTTTGGCTGCGAGATCTTTAGATTTGGAGATCGTCTTCATCGATTTCATTCCTGATTTCGTTCCTGCGAGATTTTCAGCTCAGATTTCAAATATTTCAAATGTATGATACCTATATATAAAAGGGCAATATTGTGATAAAAAAAATTTAAAATTATAAAATGTCCTTATTAAGGTAGGCATTTCCTACTCAGGGGTTTTTTGAAAGAAAATTGATTGAATTATCCTTTACCCTAATAAAAAGCCAAAAAATGAGGTTTCACCAAAAATCCTTTTTTTTTTAACATAATTTGAAATTTGTAGAATCAAAAAATTAAAAATTCAGAGTACTGAAGTGTTTACAACCCTAAAAATAGAAGATAGGATAACGAATAACTTTGGAGGAAATTACATAAAAACCATTTACATTTTACCATTTTTGTTTCATTTTTTACCATTTATATATTTTTTTAGATAGGGAAACAATTACAAAACAGCGTTTATATTTTAACTGTTGTGAATGTATCAGGTAAGACCATATATGATATAAAAATATGATAATTATGGGAGGTAAAAATAAAGGGTTCATTCCGAGCAGAAAATGTCCACTAGCCGGATACACAACCCACATGTGTGGGTCTCACATCCATATGAGATATTTAGTAAAACTTTTGAAATATAATATTACTGTTAAAGTACTCAACAAACTCTACATATTAAACGATTTGAATTATCAAAATAGGACCTGTAGTGGACCACAGACCCAACAGCCTTGCCTAAAAAAAAAACACGACACCTTGGGATAATTAAGTATTGTGATTGGTGAAAAAAATAAGCAAGTGAAATATTATGTTAGATAATTGAAGAATATAAAAGAATATATTAAATGATGATTAATTAAAAAATATGATTGTTCCGAAAACATTCTATAATTTCCACATCTGGGGAGTTAGGCCACGCCAAATTGCTATAAATACGTGGCTCTTCAAAGTCTGGTTTCAAATGCACTCATTAATACGTGTTCTTCTCTCCAGTTATATTGCACCCTCCTCCTCCCTGCTCTCTCTCTCTCATCTGATAGTGTAATCTTTGTTTTTCTGCTTGTTATTTTCTTTTCTTCCAAGCTTTAGATAAAGAGATACATATATCATCTTCGTCATCATCTTGTAAGGTGTACCTCGTATAAAATCCAAAGAAAAAATAGGAGAGAAAGCATGTGTGGAATACTAGCAGTTTTGGGTTGTTCTGATGACTCTCAGGCCAAGAGGGTTCGCATCCTCGAACTCTCCCGCAGGCAATTTCCATCTTCTTCTTCTTCTTCTTTATATATACATCAATGACATTTCTGTTCATTTTCTACGTATGCGTCATCAATTAACTTTTCTTATCTTTTTTTTTATTTATAAATTTTGAGCCCTCAAACTTTTATAATTAAGGATTTCAATTCGTTAATATCGTATTTGGTTAGAGGATTTAATGAGAGAAATGGGTAAGAAAATACAATCTCACTTTTGTTTGGTTATAATGGAAAGGAAAAAGAAAATGAGAGAGAAATGCAATCCCATTTTTGATTTTTTGTGTTTACTTAGATTCTTTTCTTTCTTCATTTCTCAACTCAACCAAACAAGCAATTTGAATCTTATCAATTCATTCTATTTTTCTTTTTATTTCTCTCTTCCTTTTCATTTTCCTCATCAAATCCTCCTATCAAACACAGCCTACGGGATGTAAAACCTTGATAGATTGATCCCTTTCGACCAAAATTTCGACCAAATGGTTGGGATTTATTATTCAATTTTTTTATTTTTCTTTTTAACCTTATGTATTAAAAAAAATAAAAATTAAAGTACGAATGTAGAATTAAACATGATGTACACTTGTGATGAATCTGATCTACACGATTCTACACATATTTGTGAATTTATTTATTTATGAGCACAAACATATGATGGAATTTCAGGTCTTGTTGTGCAAGAAACGAGTTGTGGGTGTATCAAACAAGTTGCTAAATTGACGATCCAAAAGAAAAAAAGTTGCACAATTTGCACATTTAAAAATTGAAGTTAATTATGTTGCTGTTGTTTGGAATTGGTGATTGTTGTTAGATTGAAGCATCGTGGGCCAGACTGGAGTGGGCTATATCATCACGGGGACTTCTACTTGGCACATCAACGTCTAGCAATCGTTGATCCAGCTTCCGGTGATCAACCTCTCTTCAATGAAGACAAGAAGATTGTTGTCACGGTCTCTCTGCTACTTTCCTACTCTACTTTCAACTTATTTTGGAAATTTCAAATTTTTATTTTACTAGTGTTAAAAACTTCAATTAATCCGGGGCACCCTCAAGTTAGGGAGTTATCTGTTACTATATTGAGTTTTTCTTTTGAGTTGTCTAAAATTTAGGCAAATTTTGATTTGGAGGAGGATGTTTATTGAAAACAGGTGAATGGAGAGATATACAACCACGAGGAACTGCGCAAGTGTTTGCCTAAGCACAAGTTTCGGACTGGTAGTGATTGTGAGGTTATCTCACATTTGGTCCGTACTCTCTCATTACCATAGCAATTCTTCATACTGTTTACAACAATGCCAACTTACACAATCAAAAAATTCAAGAACTACCATAAAAAATGTCACACTGTGTTACTTTCTCATTTTCCTAGAAATTTTTTGTTCTGTTTCCTAGGAACCAAAAAGGGTTGAAAGTATTTCATTTAGTGCTTGATTTAACAGCTAGCTATCTGAGCTAACAGTGTCACATTCAATCTCATTTCATTAGTATGAAGAGTATGGAGAAGAGTTTGTGGACATGTTGGATGGAATGTTTTCATTTGTGTTACTAGATACCCGCAACAACAACTTCATCGCTGCCCGTGACGGCATTGGGATCACTTCCCTCTATATTGGATGGGGACTGGATGGTAATTTGTCATAATTCAATCATTAACTAATTTGAGACATTGAAATTGTCCTGTTTTTTTTTTTGATTTTTGTGTCCTTGTTTTCAGGATCAATTTGGATTTCCTCTGAACTGAAAGGCTTGAATGATGACTGTGAACATTTTGAGGCCTTTCCACCCGGTCACTTGTACTCGAGCAAAGAAGGCGCACTCCGAAGATGGTACAACCCTCCCTGGTTCTCTGAGGCCATTCCATCAACCCTATACGATCCAATTGCATTAAGGGTTGCTCTTGAAAATGTGAGACTTACAAATTATAGAAGGATAAATTACATGTCTTCTTTATGTTTGGTCACTTTTTCACTTCGACCCTTAAAATTTCTTTTTTCTCATTTTGATCCTTCACAATTCAAGTTTTTTCCTAATTTATTCTTAAAGATAATTTTTGTTAAAAATTATACAGAAAATGATACATTAACAGTCACGTGGTATAAAAATATTTTATTATATATAATTCACATATCTAACATAAACTTAAGCTCCAATATGATATATTTTTTTTAAATTATGAGACAGTTATTATGGAATTTTCAGTCTAATTTTGAACAAAAATTAGTTTTAGGAGTAAACTGAAAAAATTTTGAAATATAAAAGGTCAAAGTGGAAACAGAAAAGGGGTAAAGTGTAATTTACCCAATTATAGAACCTAATTAGACTAGAAATTAGTTTTAAAAGCAGGGTAGTTTGAAGAGAAAATGGCTTATGAGTTGGCTGCAAAATTTGCAGGCTGTGATTAAAAGGCTAATGACCGATGTACCCTTTGGAGTTCTGCTATCTGGAGGCCTAGATTCATCCTTGGTGGCTTCCATCACCTCCCGCCACTTGGCCGGCACCAAAGCTGCCAAGCAATGGGGACCCCAACTCCATTCCTTCTGTGTTGGCCTTGAGGTGACTACTGAGTTTCTATAAAAATATATATATATATATATATATGTACACAGAAACCAATCACAGTACACTCACAATGCTAGAATTTCTGTGACCGATTCTATGATTGGTTCTGTGCAAGTAGAAATGCTGTAGTTTTCATCTACATTACCCTCGAACCATTCTCTGTATTTGGTTTGCAGGGTTCACCAGATTTGAAGGCCGCAAAAGAAGTTGCAGACTATTTAGGTACCATTCACCATGAGTTTCACTTCACTGTACAGGTATATGGATACAAAAATTAAACTTCCCAATCTCAAAATAATAATAATAATGTGAGATATGTAAGATATCTGAATTAATGTTGTAATTGTTATATCAGTTGGTTACAAGAGTGATACTTATTTATAGAGCAAGCACCGAAAGGAGAAGACATAATAATGAAGGTGTGTAAGTGGTGTTTGACAGAATAATGAAAGTGTGTGAGTGGTGTTTATTCTTTACAACCGAAAGAAGAAGGGAATCCTATGCCCTATGCTTTCTATGTTTTATCTTGTAATATACTATTACATTATACATTATACTATATACATTAGATATTGCATTATATATTAACAGCCCCCTTCAAACTCAAGGTGGAAAAACATCGACCAACTGGAGTTTGGAGACAAGTTCAATGAAGCGGCCAAGAGAATGAGCTTTGGTGAAGATATCAGCAGGTTGATCAACAGAAGAGATCGGATGGAGATGGACAGTACCACGAGTAACGTGTTGACGAATAAAATGACAGTCAATCTCAATGTGCTTGGTGCGATCATGAAAAACATCATTGTGAGCAATTTGAAAAGTACTGTGATTGTCACAAAAGAGGTCAGTAGCACCAGATGAGGTAACACCCAGATCAGCAAGAAGCCAACGAAGCCAGAGAAGCTCCTGAGTAGTATCAGCAAGAGCACGGTATTCGGCCTCAGTACTGAAACGAGCAGTAAGAGATTGTTTCTTGCTGCACCAAGAAATAAGAGAATCACCCAGAAAAAAGTAGAACCCAGTAGTAGACCGGCGGTCAGTAGGATCTCCAGCCCAATCAGCATCGGAAAAAGCACGAAGTTGGAGAGAGGAGCGAACGGAATAATGAAGACCATGAAACATGGTGCCTTTGAGATACCGAAGGATACGAATTAAGGCAGCATAATGAGGGGTACGAGGAGCCGACATAAACTAGCTGACAATATGAACGGCATAGGCAATATCAGGACGAGTAACAGTGAGATAGACAAGACTGCCAACCAGCTGACGATATAGGGTAGCATCAGAGAGAAGAGTGCCATCAAGAGGTGTAAGACGACTCTGAGGCTCGAGGGGAGTGGAGGCAGTCTTGCAATCCGTAAGACCAGCACGGGTGAGAAGATCAGAGGTATACTTAGCCTGAGAGATAAAAGAACCCGTAGAATCATGGAAGATTTCAAGACCCAAGAAATAGCTGAGAGGACCAAGGTCTTTCATCTCGAAATGATGGCTAAGAAACTGTTTAAGGCGAAGAATACCATCGATATAATCACCGGTGATAATCATGTCATCCACATAAAGTAAAAGCAAGGTGGTCCCTTGAGCTGTTTTTCGGATAAAAAGAGCAGTATCATAAGAGCTGGAGGTGAAACCACAGTCATGAATAGTAGAGCTGAACTTGGCAAACCAAGCGCGTGGAGCTTGTTTGAGACCGTATAAGGCACGCTGAAGTTTGCAGACTTTATGAGGTGGATAAGTAGACCCAGGGGGAGTTTGCATGTAGACCTCCTCGAGAAGAACACCATTAAGAAAAGCATTGGTTACGTCCAGTTGATAAAGATCCCATTGGCCGGAGGTAGCAACAGCAATCAAGCTCCGAACAGAGGTGAGACGAGCAACAGGAGCAAAGGTCTCTTCATAGTCAATACCATATTCTTGGTTAAAGCCTTTGGCAACAAGGCGGGCTTTGTAGCGCTCAATATATGTGACGCCCTCAAAAAATATAACATTCGTTGACATATGAAATAACCACATTCTTTTATTCATCAGAGTTTCATTACAAAAGTATTACATGTTAACAACAAAAGCAAAATGCCCTACAGGCTTACAGCTTCCCAAGTTAACACTTGGTTACAACAAAAGAGTACTAACTCGTTTATACATTAAGCCCTTGGCTTGAATTTACATGTAATACATCAAAAATAAAACGACAAAAGTATGTCCGCCTCTAGCCTCCCAAGCTATGTCCTTAGAGGTGGCATGCTACCTGTACCTGAAAATGATATTCCCATATATGGTGAGCCACAGCCCAGTAGAAATACACTAAACCAACCATGAACAATGACTAAAAGATTAGCAATTGATAGATGGCCAACACTAATACATTCACATAAATCACATATTTATGTCATACGACTTATGAGTCCCAGTTACTTTTCATTTTCCCTTTTTCAACAGATAAGCATGTTAGCTCTATCATCATTTCAACAGATATGTATAAAAACTATATCCCACATTCAAGCAGGACCATCAGAGTGAGCAGGGGCATGGGACAGACCAGAAGGTAAGGCAGTCTCGAGAGAGGCCGGCAGGGGCGGTGGAGTAAGCTCATCAGAGACCTCGAGAGAGGCTGGCAAGGGCGAGGGAGTAAGGTCATCAGAGAACAGATCCGTGGAAGGGTCAGTAAAAAACAGAGAGGGGGAGGGAACAGACAAACGGAAGAGAGAGAGAGAGGAAAACATTTTGTGTTCCCAAAAGACCACATGACGAGAGATACGAAGTCGTTGGGAGAGAGGATCCCAACAACGATACCCTTTATGTTCAATACCATAGCCCAAGAAGCAACAAAGGGGGGAACGAGGTTCAAGTTTGGTACGTTCATGAGGTTGGAGAAGAACAAAACAGGCAGAGGCAAAGACCCGAAGGTTGGTGTAAGGAGGACGGGTGCCATGCAGACGCTCATAAGGAGTGTGATTATGAATGACAGGTGTAGGGATACAATTGATAGTGTAAGCAGCAGTGAGAGCTGCCTCTCCCCAAAAATGTTCCGGACAAGAGAAAGATAGAAGAAGAGCACGAGTAGTGTCGAGAATATACCGATGTTTCCGTTCAGCACGTCCATTTTGTTGAGACGTACCGGGACAGGAACGATGAGGTTGAGTACCATGACTCTGAAGGAAGGAAAGAAAGTCAAAATCTTTATATTTCATGGCATTGTCGGAGCGAAAAAGCTTAATAGTTTTAGAAAATTGTGTGTTAACCATTGCAGCAAAATTGTAATAAAGTTGTTTGAGCTCAGAGCGAGTTTTCATAAGGAACAACCATGTAAAACGGGAAAAATCATCAATAAAACAACAAAATAGCGGGCTTCGCCCATAGTGGGAGTAGAAGAGGGTCCCTAAATATCAGAATGGATGAGATCAAATGGTGCAAGAGAAACAGAGTCACTTTTATTAAACGACAAAGCAGGTTGTTTAGCAAGTTGACAGGACACACAATCTAAAGCATCAGAACTAACAGGACCTAAATGACCACTAGAAATTAAAGTTTTTAAACGACCAGCAGAAAGATGGCCTAAACGACAGTGCCAAAGCTGAAAAGGAGATAAACGAGGAGCAGTGGTAGCAGTGGTAGGAGCTGTGATCTGAGAGGAATCCGGAACATGAAGATGGATAAGTTCGTAGAGGCGTCCGTGCTTACGGCCTATCCCAAGGGTTTGCCCCGTCCGAGGGTCCTGCACCAAACAACCAGTATGAGAAAAGGTAACAGTTAGACCATGCTCACATAATTGACTAATGGAGATAAGATTTAAAGTGAGAGCAGGCATAAGATAGACATGGGATAAAGATAAGTGAGAGGTGGAAACAGAACCAACATGACTTACAGACAGAAGAGACCCATCAGCAGTATGGATAGAAGGAACATGAGGAGTAAAAGAGATAGGAGTAAAAATAGTAGAGTGAAAGGTCATGTGATTACAACAAGCGGAGTCAAAGTACCAGGAAGTGTTACTTGCGGTGACAGACAAGGCAGTAGAGGAAGGGGTACCGGATTTTTGCCAAAAATGTTGAAATATGGCTTCAACATCTGTGTGAGAGAAGACTGGAGTGGAAGGATCTATAGGGACAGGGGAAGGTAAATCCTCTGAGGCAGCAGCAGCAGCAGCAGTGCATTGAGCAGGGAGTGGTTTAAACGGAGTCCCAGAACGATGTGAGGTGCTACGGGAAAAATGCCCGGGGGAAGGACCATTGCGAGAAGCACGAGCGGGATTGCGGAAGCAATCTTGCTGGAGATGACCAGGACCAGTCATGTTGCAAAATCGACAGAGGCGAACAGGACAATTAACCAGAAGATGAGTCGACGGAAGACTGCGATTTTGACAGTAGTTGCAGAAAGTTGACTTCTGTGGGGAAGGTGGGGAAGGAGAACTCCGAGTCTGGGGAGTAGCAAGAACAGAGTCCACAGGGTGCGGATGGAGAGTACCAAACTGAGTTTCCTCTTACAGGAGTTCAGAAATTGCTTGCTCAAGAGTGGGTAAAGGAGTGCGATGAAGGAGAGATGCGCGTACTGGCTCAAAACGGGAAGTAAGAGCCATGAAAAACTGAACCAAGCGATGTTGGTCACGGTAAGTAGTAAACAAGGCAGCATCCTTAGTACAATCCCATGGAGGCAGAAAGAGCGAGCTGATCCCAAACAGAATACATTTGGGAGAGGAAATCATTAATGGTCTGAGTTGTTTCTTGGCGCATACGGTGAAGAGAACTCAGAAGCTGATATTGGTGAGCAAGGCCAGTAGTCTGATAGCGTTCTTGTAAAAAATCCCAGATGTCCTTGGCGGGAGAGGAAGCAGAGTCAAGTTAGATCCGACCAAACTGAAGGCTGATAGATGTAATAGAAGTATTGCGAAACCAGGTAATGATCTGATAGTTTTTACTATCCCAATCCTCCAGACGATCGACATATTTGGCAGCGGAGTCCGTGGTGGCAGCGGATTCGGTGGTTGCTTGGATGGGTTTGCACACATCCCCAGTGATGATGCGCCAAAGTTTCTTTCCTTTGAGAAACCCAGACATAGCTTGTGCCCATAAGATATAGTTAGTCCCGTGGTTAGAGGAGTCGAGGCGATCGATGAGGGCAAAATTGTACTTTCGAGGTAGAATTTAAAAAATCCGAGGGTACCAGTGAATTCAGAGGGTCGAAATCAGTGGGAAAGGAGTGAACTGACCAAAAAATAGGACCAAAAATTGGCTTGTCAAAGTGAGTGGAGTGGTCTGGTCAACAAATCCCGTCAAACAGATGATGTCACGAGCGACAGGGCTGATGTCACAGGCGCGGCACACGTTAGCAGAGAGGTGCGCGGCGCACAATAGCAGAGGACAGCAGGCGGCGCACGAAAGCAGCTAGGGCTGACGTCGGCTGACGTCAGAAACACGCGGCTCACGTTAGCAGAGGAGGCCGCGGCGCACAGTAGCGCGGGACAGTGTAAGAGGCGCGTAGAGCGCGTCGGAGAACGAGGATGCGCGTGGCCGTAAGTTCTGGCGGCGCGTGGAGCGTCGGCTGGTGATGAATTTGGTGGCGGTGGATTCGTCGTGAGGAGACGAAGGGACTGGTGTGGTCCAATAAGAAAGACAGAGAAGGTCGAGATATGCAACAATCTGTCAAAATGTGATGCAGACGAGAGACACAGCAGTCTGCGAAGAAGAGAAAAAAAAAATGTAGAGACTAGGCAAAACACCTGTGCTCTGATACCATGTGAGATATGTAAGATATTTGAATTAATGTTGTAATTGTTATATCAGTTGGTTACAAGAGTGATGCTTATTTATAGAGCAAGCACCGAAAGGAGAAGACATAATAATGAAGGTGTGTAAGTGGTGTTTGACAGAATAATGAAAGTGTGTGAGTGGTGTTTATTCTTTACAACCGAAAGAAGAAGGGAATCCTATGCCCTATGCTTTCTATGTTTTATCTTATAATATACTATTACATTATACATTATACTATATACATTATATATTACATTATATATTAACAAATAATATTAAGGTTCTGCACTTTAGCTTCCGTTTGGGAAGTGGGTTAGCTTTTTGACTTTTTGGCTTTTTTGGCTATTTTAGCCTTGGGCTTAAAAGCTTGATTTGGGAAGGGCTTTTTGGCTTTTTGGTTTTTTTGTGAGAGAAGAATATAATGATTATGGGTTGGATGTGATGTTTTGTTTGTTATGGTTAAAATAGCCTATTTTGTTTTTTGTGACTAAAATAACCAAAAAAACCTGCAAACCCACTTGCCAAACACAGGCTAACTGGCTAACAAAAGAATTGTCTTTGGCATGGGACAGGATGGGATTGATGCCATTGAGGATGTCATTTACCACATTGAAACATACGATGTGACGACAGTCAGGGCAAGCACACCTATGTTCCTCATGTCTCGTAAAATCAAGTCGTTGGGAGTGAAGATGGTCTTGTCCGGTGAAGGCGCTGATGAGATTTTCGGTGGGTATCTGTACTTCCACAAGGCACCCAACAAGGAAGCGTTCCACCACGAGACTTGTCACAAGGTAATAATAATAAGTCTTTATATGTCAAAAACTGCCTCGACATAACAGTACTTATGTTATGGTTTGTGGTTTGTATTCTCTTGTTTTGCAGATAAAAGCTCTCCATCAATATGATTGCTTGAGGGCTAACAAAGCAACATGTGCGTGGGGGCTGGAAGCTCGGGTCCCCTTCTTGGATAAAGAATTCATTAATGTCGCAATGAGCATTGACCCCAAGTGGAAGATGGTGACACACTTAGCTTAACCGATAATTTGGTAGAACTTTTAAATTTGATCAAGTGGGATTATCTAATTTTGCCTTGGACCTTTCAGATTAAGCGGGATGAAGGGCGAATTGAGAAATGGGCTCTGAGGAGGGCCTTTGACGATGAAGAGAAACCCTATTTGCCCAAGGTCCAGAACGATAAATTTGATGCTTAATTATAGTATCCGTTGCTTATGCTAATTACTTGTGACTAATATGTCCTGTTTGATGCCCTGCAGCATATTCTCTACAGGCAGAAAGAGCAGTTCAGTGATGGTGTTGGCTACAGCTGGATCGATGGGCTCAAAGACCACGCCACTCAACATGTAGGCATAGATAATTATTTTTATTTTTATGCTTTTACTTTCATAGATGTCCATGTGATGCAGTGGATGTTAGGGAAAAATATGTGATTTCCACAAGTAAATTAATTAATAGGAATAAAAATTAATGTGAAAAAATTAAATCAAAAGCAATGCAAGAATTTTTACGTGGTTCCCTCAATGTAAGGTACGTTCACGGGATCGAAATTCAATTCCACTATCAACCAAATAAGTTTTCAAATAATTACAAACGAGACACGAATGGTCTCACAAAACCACCTTTAGGTGAATTCCAAATAATCATAAATAAACAAAGAAGAAAGACCTCACCAAATAGATGAATCAAAATCTTCAAAACCAGAGTTGTAAAAGATCCAAAATAACGAATCAAATCAACTTAATCAAAATGCACACGCATAATGCTTCACAAGATCAAAAAACCTAAGCAACAAACTTCCACACAGGAGCAGAAAAGTAGCACTTCTCACTCACCCAAGTTTGACTCCGCCGAATTGATTCAATCAATATCAAATTAAGCCACTGCTTCGGCTTCACTTTTGGAACGCACAAAACAATATATATATATATAAAAAAAAAAAAAATAGTTTTTTTTTTTAACCAATGAGAAGCCATCATTCATGACCCAGTGACCCCACTGGGGTCTGAGGCATTTTTCATATATATATATATATATATTGAATCTTGGATTTTGAAATCAAATCTTAATTGTCACCAAATTAAATTAGATCTCTAAAAATTAGATATAATATATTAAAATATATTATACCTAAATCAAATCAAATTAAAAGTCTTTAATAAATCAATTAGGTTTCAAACTCCAATAAGGAGATATATCCCAACAGTAGAAACATGTAAGAGCAATGACTCTAGTAGCAAGAACACCATAACTTTTCTACAAATTTGTTTAATTCCAAGATTAGCAAAATTTGAGTTGAGCTAGCTCAAATTTGGATACTAGAAAGAAGAATAAATATTCTAGAAAAGAATCTAGACTAAATCGGATTCATATAGACCAAGTAATTGACGACAGAGAACCTTATAAAAAAAGTAAAATTGTATAATTGAAATCCTAAATAATGGAATTCACCCCACCAAATCCACCGAGGTCCATTCCAAAGCTATGAATCGTAATCCTTGCCATCTTTTAATGCCCGAATTTTAATTTCAGGTGACCGACAAAATGATGCTCAATGCTGCACATATCTTCCCTCATAATACCCCAACCACAAAGGAAGCCTACTACTACAGAATGATCTTCGAGAGGTTCTTCCCACAGGTGAATTCAATCAAAACCAATTCTATCACTATACTAGTTATGTCAATCAATGTCATTGAAGATATTAACTCGATTTACGTATATTCTCTGCAATGAATGCCTCTCAGAACCCGGCCAGGCTGACAGTCCCTGGAGGAGCAAGTGTAGCTTGCAGCACAGCGCAAGCTGTTGAGTGGGACGCTTCTTGGTCAAACAATCTAGATCCTTCCGGAAGGGCTGCACTCGGAGTCCATCTTTTAGCTTATGATCCCCCCTCACCCTCTGCCACTACCGGCAACTTGGCAACTGAGGTTATTGTTGTCGTGCCTAAGGTTATGAGTGTTCCCGGAGTCGCCATCCAAAGCTAGTAAAAATTATCATACCACCACTGTTTTCATGTGTGTGTGTGATGGTAGAATTTGTATCCTATATTATGTGAAAGTGAAATAATATTTGCTAAGGTGGTCTATTAGCCTTGACCTTTTGTATTTGATGTACAAGGTTTTGAAACTTGATGTATCTTGTAATTTGTTTACAAAGGAGTTCTAATTGGTGCTAGACTATCCTTCTCATGATGTAGGAGGCTTCGGTTTGGTTATTTCTGTTGCCTTTTTTGGTGTTTCTTTTCCCATTTTTTTCCTTTCAAATACTACGTGGACATTTTTCTGAATTTTTTTTTTTCTGTGCACGTAATATTACTATTCCTCAAACCCCCACCCCCCAAAAAAAAAAATAAAGCATCAACACGGAAATAAGTTTACCTTAATTTCTCACAAAAAAAATACAAATCCTAATTCCCAAGTGCACTATTTTACAACAGAGATACCTAAAGGTGCAATTTCCACCCCCAGTAGATGTACATCAATAGGCTATATAAATCAGTAAAACTATAGATCAAAGTCTAAATAAAAAAGCAGAAAGTGAAAAAACATATTTTTAAAAACAATTAGAAGAACAAAGCGTTGTAGAACAATTGGTTCCAAGTATCAGGCAAGCCAGGAAGGCACCAATGGCTACAATCAGCGGAGTGGTCAGGGTTAGCTCGTTGCTCGGGGCTCAGATCACCGCTGTAGATAGAGGGGTGCGCGTCTTTTCTCATTGCAGACAATGTTGTTATGTCGAGGAGGTATGTTGGACCGATCATGTCCTTTATTACTGCCTCAATTACCTTCATTTGATCAGGGTACGCCCCCGGGTAGGCTGTGCCACTCGTTGGCACGGTTTCGCCATAACAGCTCTTTGTTGCTGCCCCTGCATTCCATTCTGCTGGGCTGCAATTGTGGTATTTATTAACAATGTTTTAATTTTCAATTTAAATTACCAACAGATTAAAGCCCAGGAGGGAAAGTTAATGTAAAACCAATAATACCGAGGAATTTGGTCAAAATCTTTTTATAATATAATTTTAATGCATTAAGAACAAGTATAAATTTTTTTTTTTAGAAAAATTTAATACATATCATTATTATCAAAATATTAAATTTTAAAATAATATAACTTTTGATGTAAATGTCGGTTTTTAATAAAATTCAGTGTGTTTGGTTTAATTTTTCTACATTTAAGTTTTTTGAAAATTGAGTTTTTTTATTTTCGTTTTTGTTTTTTGTTTTAATTGAATATTTTTAAAATTTTAAACTTTTTTTTTTACTTTTTTAGATGCACATTACTTAGATGTATCTAAAAAGTAAAAAATTTGTAAAAAAATATTTCAAAAAATGTATTAAATTCTTATATTTTTTTTGTATTTTTGGTATTTAGTGAATTTTTAAAAGATTTTTTTTACAATTTTTTTACGTTTTAGGTGTATTTATGTTAGGTATGTCTAAAAAGTAAAAAAATTGCTTACAATATTAAAAAAATTCAGTAAAAACAAAAAAAAACACGAAAAATAAGAAAGTAAAATTTTCTGAAAAATATTTTTGGAAAAATGGAACCAAGCAAGCTATTTTTTTAGAATTCTCTCATTAAGATATATATATATATATATATATATATATATATTATAGTTGAAATTGATATAAATAGTAAGAGTAACATGTTACTCTGTTTAATAGTAACATGTTATTCTGTTTAACAATTGCTCTGTTTGATAGTAATATGTTACTCTATTTCATAGTAACATATTATTTTGACAATATTGTTTCTTAATGTACTTACCTTAAATGTATTTAAAAAATAAATTATTTATAAAAAATATAAAATAAATTTAATAAATACACAAGAATGAAAAATTATATGAAAATTTTGCAATTTTTTTTTAATAATTTTTGTATTTAGTTAATCATTTAAAGATTGTTTTTATGAATATTATACTTTTTAGTGTATCTAAATTAGGTCCATTTAAAAAATAAAAAATTGCTTAAAATATTGAAAAAATAGAAATTTATTAAAAAGCCTTCTTTCAAATACTTGTATCCCACTCAGTTCATAAGATATTCTTGTATTGCAATAAGTCCTATTATTTTGGATATTTGATTCACCAAATCTTAATTCTCATATTTAATTTATTTTATGTACAATTTCACCTTTATAAATATTTTTTAAACCCTTAACAATTTGGTGATGTGAACATTCACATTAAATAAATTTGACAGTATAAATATTCATATTGATAATGTGAATGTTTACATTTTTTGTGTAAATGTTCACATCATGAAATATTCATATTGTTAATGTGAACATTAATGGATGATTCACTCTATTATTATTAGGAGTATTTTGATAACTATGCCATTCATAAAACTTATTAGAAAATAAGAAAATAAATTGGATTAAGTAGAATATAAATAAGTGAAGATAGATTTATGAATAAATATTACTAAAAAATATAAAAATTTAAAAAATTATTTTTTTAAAAATCAGTCTCAAACAATAATTGAGAGAGAGAGAGAGAGAGAGAGAGAGAGTTACTTGTAGTGAGTGGGAGAGATGGATTGGAAGAAGACTCTAGTAGTAGTTGGGCTAACATTGGAGTCAACCCACTGGGCCCAAGTTCTCAGCCCTTTATCCAAAGCAACCAAACGATCCATATCTTCATACAATGTCCCTCCTGATTCCATGTAGTCCCACCTACACATTACATACAACCGTATAATTTATTTTTCCTTTTATTTATTTATTTTTTAAATTTTATTTAATAAAATCAGAGTCAAATTGCTAACCCTTGGAGAGATCCTTTGTGACTCCACCAGTGACCGGTGTTAAATGACAGCACATCCACACCCGTCCACGCCTTCCCATTCCCTGATATATCATCCAATCTCAGAACTCTCTTCCCTTCCACTGCTTTGATGTCCACCAGATACGGTGCTCTGTAGAACGACACGGCCACACCGTACTCCTGCATTTTACCATAACAAAAACCACAATTTTAGGCTCTTAAAAAATGCTTGAGAATTAACAATAGCCGTCTGATTAAGATCACAGGCTCACCAAGAATTTGAAGGTTGAGAGGGGATCTCCTCTGGACAATTGGGTGGGCGATCGTGGCGCCGCAGCTGAAATCATACAAATCAACGACTCCCATTGGTTCTTCCCCAACGAGTCTCCCACGAACATCACGGTCTTCCCTTGCATTTTCAACAGAAAATCAAGCCCGTTGAACCTACGTAGTACCATAAAAAAACATATGTTATGACTAGAAGATTATGATAACATCTAATGTACAAAACCAGCATATGGCAACATATGAGAATTAAGCGTGAAAAATGGCTACAACTCCACTTACTCTAATAAATAAATAAGGAAAATGCTAGAGGTCCCAAATTTTCTACCAAATAAATGATCAAATGTCTCACATGAGTGTGGGGTCCGCAATTATGGCAACATATGAGAATTAAGCGTGAAAAATGGCAACAACTCCACTTACTCTAATAAATAAATAAGGAAAATGCTAGAAGTCCCAAATTTTCTACCAAATAAATGACCAAATGTCTCACATGGGTGTGGGGCCCACAAAATTGCAGACCCCGCACCCATGTGAGACATTTCACCAAGGATCCTCTAAAGTTTTTTTTTCCTAAAGTTTCCTAAAGTGGTGTGTTGTATGGGTGAGATTTAATGCTAAAAAATTGATGTGACTTGTCATTAAATCTCAACCATACAACACACTACTCTAGGAAACTTTAGAAAAAAAAAAAACTCTAACTCCCATTGGTTCTTCCCCAACGAGTCTCCCACGAACATCACGGTCTTCCCTTGCATTTTCAACAGAAAATCAAGCCCGTTGAACCTACGTAGTACCATAAAAAAACATATGTTATGACTAGAAGATTATGATAACATCTAATGTACAAAACCAGCATATGGCAACATATGAGAATTAAGCGTGAAAAATGGCAACAACTCCACTTACTCTAATAAATAAATAAGGAAAATGCTAGAGGTCCCAAATTTTCTACCAAATAAATGACCAAACGTGTCACATGGGTGTGGGGCCCACAAAATTGCGGACCCCACATCCATGTGAGACATTTGGTCATTTGTTTGGTAGAAAATTTGATGTCCCTAGCATTACTCAATAAATAAATAGAGTTTGGAATACAAAATTGGTATCTTATAGAATTTTTATATAAAATTCATGACCATAACGGTAAGACAGTGATATTTTTTTAAAATATAAGCCATCTTGATGTATATTTTGATTTAAAATTATAAAATCAAAACTTGTCTCATCATTTTATATAGTTCTTTTATTTGTATAGCACTAATTTTTAAGGGAAATTATTATTATTTTTTAGATTGATTTTAAGAGAAATTATTGAGTATTCTGAAACAAATCTATATAATACTCCAATTAGATAGTTATTAGTCAATAAAGTTGGATTCATAACAACAGCATGAGAAGTGATGATTGATTAACATTACTTTAAAATTCAATTTATACATAAGTTTAAATTATGAATAATTTTCTAGGCATATCATGTGTGAGAAAAATTTGAAGTGTAGATAATCCTATACAAGCGAAAGAATTGTATACAATTTTGTGATTAGATTTTGTACCGTATATGAGAGGATTGTGACCAATTTTATAATCAAATTCTGTGCACGTGAAAAAACCGTTTGTGAAATGGTAAGGTACCTGGGGAGGTCACAATTAGCAGGTTTCCAACGATATTTGAGGTAATCAGAGTCGGGTCGACCATACATTTGGCAGTTGAATTGTGGGTCAATGATTGGACAGGCAGAGAATTGATACTGAGGATACGTGTCATCCCGGATCCAAGTGCCCATAAACACATCACACGACGTTTGATTGGCTTGGATCATAGGTCCTCTGTTGTGATGGTGGTCGCGACTGTGGTGGTGGTTCTTCAAACCACCTAGCAAAACTGGTGAAGCTTCATGGCTTTCCACCAAAACAAGACACAGAATTGCAATGCAATACCCAAAAGCATAGCAAGAAGATTGCAAAAGAGGAAGAGCCATTGCCAGAAGAGAGAGAGAGAGAGAGAGAGAGAGGTGTGTTAGGGGCTTGTAATGGAGTGGGGCTTTTGTTGTGTCGTGTTGTGTTGTGTGCATGTGAAGTATGGTTTGGTGAAGGAGGCCCTGTTCTGTGACTCTTTTTTGACTTGTGAGGTTTGATTCGAACCAATAATTGAGATGAGCAGTTGAGTTGAACATATGAATTATGAGTTCCCATTAGCTTATTTTTTTATTAAAAACTTTGTGACTAAGGGGCGACGCTACCTTACCATAAGTGCTGTCACTCAAACCTCGAGTTTTTTTTTAAAAAATTTCTATAAAAATAAAAACTTTGTGACTAAGGGGCGACGCTACCTTACCATAAGTGCTGTCACTCAAACCTCGAGTTTTTTTTAAAAAATATTCTATAAAAAAAAAAAAAAATTTAGAGAATTGACTCACCTTTCAAACTATTTGGAAAATTAACTTATTTTTTAAAATCACATTTTGAAAATGTAATTTTAAATTGAAATTACATTTTCAACCTGCAATTTTACTTTGAAATCGCACTTTGAAAATGCAATTTATGATGACATGGACTTTACTTTTTGAAATTACATTTTTAACATGTGATTTCAAGGTGAAATTGCATGTTGAAAATGCAATTTCAATTTGAAAATCGCATTTTCAAAATGCGAGTTAAAAAAGCAGGTTAGTTTCCTACGTAGTTTGAAAAGTGAGTCAATTCTCTAATTTTTTTTTTAGAATATTAAAAAAAAAAAAAAACTCCTCAAACCTCTGGATAATTTTTTTAAAAATATTTTATTAGGTTGTTATTATATTATTTTTAGTAAAGAAAACAACAACTTGAACCCACTAAAATATAATTTTGAACTCTTAATTTTCAAAACCATTACTTTGATCCCACTAGCTAGTAATAAATCTATTAATATTAATATAAGACAAATTATATTTATATGTGTGTTAGTTTGTTCGTATTAGTTGACTAGAATTAAATTTATAAATTTATTTCAATATATAAAATTGTTATTATTTTTATAAAATGGATGTAAACTGAAATTTTTATCTCCTATATCATGAGATTAGATTATGAATCCCAACGGTCAAGTGAATTCGTAATTCCATGGCATTTTTGCAAAATGAACATGATTTATGTGATATATGCTGAATTGTTAATCCAATAGCACTACTTATGGAGTAAAACAAACATGCCTTTCATCTTGATGTATGATTATTTAGTTACATATATTGAAAAAGATGTATTTCGTAGTGTTGATAATAATATTATTATACAACAATTTTAAAATATCAAATCTTATCAAAATGAATTGTAAAAGCTCATATATTAACTTGTGTTTTTTTTTATTTAGAAAATAGTATTAATTTATTGAAATTTTCTTTTATTTATAATTTGATAATTTAAATTAATTTGTTGATTTTTTAAAAGTAAGTGATAGATATAATTGATGCAAAATTTTATAAAATCTATTGACACTACTGAAAAATTTCTAAAGTCAATAGACAAAACATATTTTTGTCCCACACATTGTTATTCCGTTCGTTGTGCTTGTGAGTTTTGTGTTGTGTGTTGTCAATTGATGTTCGCATTTTTTGGTTGAAGTTTTTATGCGCCGTTTGTTTGGAATTATGGAAAGGGAATTGAAATTGATAGTGAAGTGAGATCTACAATTTTTGTGTTTATTTGAGAGATAGAGAGGTGATTCGAATGGGCCTCTAGCACTTGGTATTAGAAAAATAGTCCATCGGATTATTTTTTTATTTTTATTTTTTACATGTTGGACATTTTTTTTGAACATTAATGTTTAATTTTTTTATATTTTTTGTTAAGTAAAAATTATTTTTTTTATTTGTTTTATTTTTTTCTAAAATTATTTTATTTTATTTTATTTTTTACATGTTGGGCATTTTTTTTAACATTAATGATTAATATTTTTATATATTTTTAATTAGTTTTATTATTTTATATAAAAATAATTTAATAATCCCTACACTGACAACTATCATCAAAATAAATATAATTTTACCTCCACTATTAATCTCCTCACTATAAATCTTTTTCATTCTATCTCTGAAAACAAAGGGGCTTATGTTTGTTTGGTCCACGCACCTTCCAGCGTGTTTAATTTTATGGTTCTTAGAGACTGACGGCATTCAATTGTTTTATTCATTTTGTAAGCTATTATTTGGTAATCATTTCGTTTTTAGTTTTCAATTTATATTAATAAAAATTTAAAAAATTATCATAAAAATTTGTTTGATAATTTTTTTGGTTTATAAATGGTTGTCTCAGTTTGTAAATTTAAGAAAAAAATGTAAATTCAAAAAATGAGCATACGTTGGTTTTTTAAACAAAAATTTAAAAACTTTATTAACAAAATTTTTTTTCAAATAATTTTTTTTCTAATGAATTTTTTTTCAATGAATTTTTTTTCCAACTAATACTAACCGATGAGGCAATTGGTAATGCTACTTTAAACCTTAGGGAGGGGATTGTAATTTCTAAAATATGAGGGGTGTCAATGTAATTTACCCAATGAGGGCAAAATTGGTATTTAAAAAAATTAAATTGCTGAAGGGGAGAATCTGTAATGAAACTTTAAACCTCAAGGAGGAGATGTAATTTCCAAAAAGTAAGAGGAAAACTGTAATAAACATAAACCTCAGGGGGTGTCAGTGTAATTTACGCATAATAGTTTTAGGAATAAAATTTTTCTGTTTTCAAAAATATTTTTTTTTTACATGGTGGCAAAAAGAAAAAAAAAATTATAATTTTGATATAATATTTTATCTTATTGATTATTTTATTTTATTTTTATTAATTATTTTAATCAAACCTTGACATCCTAAATGGAGTCTCAATAATTGTAACAACATTATTTTATAATATTTTTTATCATAAAATGAATGATAAGTTTCAAAATAGGTGGTCAATATTTTTTAAACAATTATTATGTAATAAAGGTGCTATAAATAACGGATTAATCTTTTCTTTTCTTTTCTTTTTTTTTTTTCGGTGAAAAATCTATATACACTACAAAAGAATCAATCAAAACAGATCCCTTAGTGAGGAACAATACCCAATCCTGAGGATGCTCCAGAAGTGAGCCCCCCCATTTAGATCGTAAACAATTTTGGTGCATAAATTTGTCATTCTAACATTACTTTTATTACAATGTTTTTGAATGCATGCCACAAGGTTTTTAAAGCTACATCAAGAAAGTAATATTAATGTTAAATTTACTATTTTTTATTTTTTATTTTTAGTACCAAAATTGAAAGTTAAATCATAAACAATTTTGACACGAAAATTTAGTCATTCTAACATTACTATTTTCAAAATGCAATGTGGCACCTCCATAATTTAAAGGTGTTAAGTTAGGAAGCACGGAATACGGGTATGATACGATACGGCAAAATTCCAAAAAGGTAAAATACGGATACGGCGGGGATACGTTCATAAAAAATATTTTTTTCACAATTTTTAATAATGTAGCATACATAAAAATAAAACTTCAAATTCAATTAATGTAGCATCACCCATAACAACCATAATGCATCACCCATAACAAAAAATTCATCAATTCAATTAAATTCAACAATTTTAACAATATAGTATTACCCATAACAACCATAATGCAATTCAATCCCAAATTAAGGGGGAAAAAATTTACAAAGTTCATTTATTTATCAATAAGTTTATTTATTTATTTATTAATAAGTTTTTTTTACCTTATTTGATTTATTAATAAGTTTACAAAGTTTATAATTTTATAAGTTGACAAATTTTATTTTTAATAAGTTTATTTATTTATTAATAAATTTTTTTACCTTAGTTTATTTATTTATTTATTTATGTTTGCTTTATCAGATTCAAGTAAACGAATAATACATATAAGTTTTTTTTTTTTTTTTAATATCTTATTTGATTGCAGAGTAATACATACAACAAATTAAAAAAAAATAATAATAAAAATAAAGTAGTCCAAAACAGACATAGATAAGGGAGAGGGAGAGACAGATGACCAAGAGAGAGAGAGATGAGATTGAGATCTCCAACCAGACAGATCGAGCGGGAGCGAGAGCGAGAGCGAGAGCGAGAGGGAGAGGGAGAGAGAGAGAGTTCGTGGGATCAAGTGAGAGGCTGACAGAGGGAGCGAAAGGGAGAGAGAGAGAGGGACAAACCTGATCGACGATCGTGGAGCTCCTGTTCGCGAACCAGATCGACGATCGGCAAGTTGCTGTTCGAGACGACGACGAACTCTTTCTCCTCCTCCTTCGCGGCTGCTGTTCGACCTAGGTAAGAGAGAGTTTGGTTTTTTATTATTTTTCTTTTTTTTGTGTTTTATTTCATCTTTTTTTCATATTTTACAATTTGACCCATTTTTAAGTTTTTTAAATTATTTTTTTGCCCCGCCGTATCCTGACCGTATCCTCGCGTATCCTACCCGTATCTGAAATTCAAAAATTAAAAAAAAAAATTGGATACTTCATTTCCTGTATCTGATACGTATCCCACCGTATCGAGCGCGTATCCGTATCCGATATGCATACGGAGGCTATTTCAGAGTATCTGTGCTTCATAGGTGTTAAGTCTCTAATACAACCCATGTTATGCATGCAATTAACTTCCAAAACAGCTAGAGCTGTGCCATTACTGTTGTTGCATGTGGACAATAGGGTCCAACTGATTTTTAAACAATAAATTAATTGATTGATTTTCTGGAGCAAAAAGTAGAGAACAGTACTGAAAATTTTATAAAAATAAAGGAAAAAGATATATAAATGTGTGTGAATTATGTATATATATATATATGTATGAAGAGGAAGGCCAATTGGGAGGATGGGTCCAAATATTTCCAGAGCCATTGTTATCAATGCTTCACTGTCGGTAGAGAGTGAGCTCACCCCTCACCCCAACTTGGTTGGTATGGGATGTGTTTGGATTGGTATTTGCAGCAGCCCCTCCAAGTTTAATTCTCTCTCTAAAAAAAAAATTATTAAAAATATTTTATTTTTTTATAACCGAGAACCGATTTTAGCTAGTTAGGATTTTTAGACCTGTCATGGGAATGCAAATTCAGGGTAT